TATGGAGTGGACGGGTGTGAATATTGCATGTTTTCCGGATGTGGAGGCCATGAGAAGAAGGTACATAACAGGCTCCCGGCAGGACAACCGCTCGAATTACAAGAACGATCTGCAAAATTGGTTTCTTTATCCCGAACCGCTGCCGAAGTTTTGGAAGTTTGAGCACGACCGGCGCCTGCAGCTCCCGGTGGACGAGAGGGTGAGCTTCCAGGAGCCGGAATTTTCGTCCCGCTTTGCAGCAAGATTGCACGCGGAAGGCTTCCGATACACTGGGGAATACTTTGACCTGGAACGCTATGCCGAGCGCTTCCGAGCTCTTGCTGCAGACCCTCCGCAGGACGATCCAACTCCGGAGATTCCTACTTTTGAAGCGTTCGTGGACGATTTGCGGCAGACGGCCAAGGCCGTTGTGGCGCCCGAGTTCATATCAGCGGCTGAGAAAAGGCTTGTGTATTTAGAAAACAGGTATGACCTATTCCAAAACTTGAGGGGTAGGACAGAGAACTTGGAGAACAAATCTGTCCGGCACAGGGACTTTTATAACACAAGAAAAGTTGACCCTAATATGGTACTTCACGGATGCATATCACAGCGGCACTTGAACGAATTCATATGTGAGAAGCTCAGCTCGGAGCCCAATCGTATTGTGCACACAGATCTACAAGGCAAGAAGTGGAAACTATCTGATATCTTTCAGCAGAGTCTCGTCGGACGCGGTGGCTTGCCGCTTTCGAGTGAAGACATAGGAACGAAGATTGTGGATGACGAGTTCATGGATTGGTACAAGAATTATTATCTTCCGAATTATCAATGTGCATGGGTATCTCAGCTGAAGTCATTAGATCTATCCAAAGACCGTGGCCCTGGTCTGCCACACAGGTTGTACTATATGATTGCAAGGGTATTTCTGGACTTTGACAATGATATTTTTGGGGAATATCTCGCGGAGTTAGTCATCAGATATGTGATCCACAGTCTTGAGAAGAGCAAGTATCAGCTCGTGCATCTATCAGTTGATTTCCAGTTCCGCCAGACATCTTGGTGGTTAAGTTTTTCCAGGTGGGTATGTCACTGGAAGTTGGTCTCATTTAATATAAGATGGAACGTTCGGATAAAAAGAGAGTATTCCAGGCTATACAAGTTAGGGTTTCTGGATAACTTTGAAGATTACCTGGACCATATATATGGCCCGCTGCTGGATATCACTAACATCCAAAATGTTGAATTGCAATTTTTCCTGTCAACCGTTGTGAACATAGATTTTATTGTGGAGTTATTTGATGAAAATAAACCGCAAACCGAAAGTATCGCCCTCCCACCTTCGCGTTGGCAGGCTGATGGAGAAAATCCACCCTTGGCATACTACATGTACTACGTTTATGAACGATTGGCTCGGGTGAATATTGCAAGACACAGTAGGAAACAAAATTCGATTTTACTAAGAAGTTCTCCTCAAACCGATAAGAATAGAGCTTCACAGTTAAATATCGATGTTACAGAGCAGGTTGAATCCCTACTTTGTAACTTATTACTATGCAACGGTGGTATATTAGACGGTGAGGTCCTCTGGTCCACTGTGCCGACAGTGACTTATCTTTATTACATTCTACAAATACCTGTAGTTGTAACACCGTTATCTCCCTTTAAGGCTCCCTCTTTGAAGCTTGAAGGCGTAATCCAGCGAAGCACACTGGAATTTACCACTGGCAGTGGCTACCATTACCGAGACAATCCATTCATGCATATGCATAGAATTGGGATGCGTGTCATACTGTCTTCTAATATGGTTTTGTTCAACAGTTCTTACACTTCAGAACCCATATTGGAAGAATACAGTGTTGCCGCAAGCATTTATTTGCTCAGTGCTGCTGATTTGTCGGAATTTGTCCGTGACAGCATCATTTCGAGCGGTTTCGAAGGATTTTATAAGAAACATTGGATGGGTGTCGTAGCATACCCAACCGAATATTCTTCGGACACCATTGGCGCAGTAGATACTTGGTATGACGAATCCGCCAACACCGCAGAAAAACACAATGTTCCCAACATCAGGAGAATGTATCGCACGGGGGCATTGGAGACAGAAAAACAGTATTATAGTCAAGTATTCACATCCAGCTAAATATTAGTTTACTAAATCCCCAACTTTAGTATTGACAACGCCAAACTGCAGTTTCACTTGTTTTGAATTTCGTATGCTTAAATATTAATATGTCGTAATCCCTACGTACTCTAATATCGGAATTATATTCTGCGTGGGTCAAATCGGTAGATCAGTCGCTACTGAAGGTCCAGAAAATCACTCTTGAGACCAAGAAGGTTCTATATCTCTCACATACGTGATATACTCCCTTAATCTGTCAAAATCGTAAAGACGTGCGCCCTCCTTGTCTCCATAGTAGAAGAGCTTAAATATATTGTCTTTCTTGAAACCATCACCAATGTCTATCGATAGGTCTAATACACCAATACTACGCTGAAAGTACCAATTGTTCACCACATTCTCGCGTCTACTTCTCCAAACCAGTTCATCCCCGAACTTTTTGAACATCAAGTTAAATATTACATCAGAAATGCAGAGGGAGCCCCGAAGGTGAGGTAGCACAGCAAATTTGTCGAGATATGCAAAGGGACGCTCTTTTGGTCCCTCATGTGTCAGAATAGCGATACCCTCATAGTCACCAATAACTATTATACTAGCAATTTTACCGTTTATGCGTCGCAGGTAATGATTCATGTCCAAGTTCCGATCAAAACTGCGATCAACTATCCTTTTAAGCTTTGTTAGGTTGACCCTTTTGTGAGCGGGCAACGGTGTTGAACCTGCCGCTGGTAGCAATTCATGAAACCCATCGGAATTCTCCTTCGTAAGTGTTCTGTAATCAAAATACTTAATATTGACACCTTGCTTCAGGACTGTAGTTGAAAATATTGGATTCGTCCTCTGAGTTCCTATTTTGGCACTGCAGGCAGGCAATTCATACCATGCGCGATCACTGATAGGATCTCTTTTAAAGCTGGGAAGCGAGGATGATACCAATGACCGATCTGTCAAGACGTTATACAACAGCGGATTGTATCGTGAATTGGTAACAGCAGAATGCATGCTAGTAATCAAGCCAGTAGACGATGGCGATAGAAGTGACAAAACTGCTGACATCAGCTCCAAATCCGTCAGGCTTCCCGTAAGAGCAGCGTACTCGAATTCTTTCTGACTTCTACCAGTAGCTATACCAGCAGTAGGCAGGCCTTCCTCCATTGCATCATGTTTACAGTCGGAAATTTGTTGTTTCAGCACCTCCACGAGCGAACTATATTCTTGCGACAAATTGACAAAAACATGACTGTTATCGTGCCTCTCGGTAGAAGGAATACCGCCATAATGGTTAATGATAAAAAATTTATCAATCTTATACGGCATACATGCAATCAGGTCGCGCATGAAAGCCACCTCATCTCCCGCCAACATCCTTTCAGCATGTTGCTGGCGGTATAAGAACGGCATGATTATTGGAATAATACTACCATATGATGTCTCATGCTGCAATATAATTTCGTGGATACCTGAAGCCAGTGGTTCGCTTATCGGTACCGAATGCAGCCCATTCTTATAGAACGTCTCATGTAATGTCTCGGACTCTGAAATCACGTGCGCCGACGGGCTTAAAACCACCAGAGGCCTGATCCCCAGCAACCGCAGTCTCCCTAGCATGATGGCAAAATCATTGATCAGACCTGCTGAGAATTTTCTGATACCGCGCAAGTATAGCACGCAATGGTGGGCGACCGCGGGATCCCCATATTTAGTTAAATAATCTTTCGCTTCTCTCCTGGTTGCAGTGGACTTCAGCACAGAGAGGATCAGACGCCGATTCTTATAATTGGGCGTATGGTATCCCACTTTCGTGGTCAACAACCGTCTGAACAGCATATGCTCATATGCTCAGTGTCATGAACTTGCGCTGCTGGCCCCAGATAGTTCAATATAATTTTTCATTTTCGTACAACTTATATACCATCGATGACTCCTACGGCAGCTGGCGCAATGCAAAGGGTAACATGTTGCTGGGCTTCCCTGAGTCCCCGAGTGAAGCCTTAGCTTTGGTGAGGTATTCGCAGGTTTCGGACCCGCACTATATAAATATTTATGTTCACGTGATCGTGGCGGTTCCTGCGTGTAGCCCAGCATGCTGAATGATTTTGGATGCCTTTTACTTGACAGAGAAGGTATCGTGAAGTCCTAGATCTAGCGTCAGATAGATTGAGCTAAACCCGTTCGTGGATGGCCCTCCCCAGAAACCTACAGGACACGTTTTCTTTACAAGAAGTACAATTTCTGGTAGAGAATGAGCCCATCAAGATAATGCCCAGGATCACCACCAAGCCAATCCGGCGTAAAGCGGCATCAACGCCGTCTGCGGTCTCATCGGTGCGCTGGAAACTCATAACTACAGACGACCACAATGTCAACAACATGGTGGCGATGAGCAGCACCGAGGTTTCGCTGTGGCTGGCGCTGTTGCTTAAGCAGCAGGGTAAGTGTAGTATTGTGGCGCCCGCGTGGCTGACAATCAAGCAGCTGGATAGCTTTCTTGAGTTTGAGCTTCAGAATGCGTCGAGGTTTGCCAACCTGCCGTGGAACTGGCTCATCATCGCACACCTGCTGTTCCAGAAAGCGGCCGATGACTTCAGAGACCCTGTGCATATATTACGAGCGAAAATCCAGGACCTGCGAGAGGCAAGACTGGGCAAGATCGCGAAAGGCCTGCAGCATCTCAACGAGTCCCATCTGCAGCTGGACAACTTATCCCTCTCGGAAATTAACGAAATGCGGCCATTCGCAGTGGGTGTAATGGACAAGTTGAGGGACATCCATGCGGCTGCAGCAGATAGGGAGCAGTACGATAACGATATATAGCTGATAATACTCGCAGCCTCACAGCAAACTTGGCATATGGCACGGAGCCTGGCCTCGGGCCGGCGTGAAGAGCAAAAAATAATGAGAGCTACGGGATTCGAACCCGCGAATCCGTAGATATCAGAGATCTTGCTTGTAAGGAGCCTAAATCTGACGCCTTAACCACTCGGCCAAACTCTCTATTTTCTGTCAGAAAAGCGTCATCTTGAGCTACATAAGGAAGCCTGCCACAAAAATGTTGGAAGAGCGTTTGCCGCCAAGCAAAATATCCTATCTCCTGTCGAAAAGCTAAAGTCCATTACGGGGAAACCGAGGCTGCTTTAGATGCGAGGAGCACTCCCGGTTGCATATCCTTGGCGCCTAAAGGTGGAAGCATAGTGGAATGAACCAATGTCCTTCTTTTTACGCCCAAGCTATCTTCGTAGGGGTATGAATGGATGGCGTAATTGAGCTGAATGGTCCTTCAGTACATGTAATTCGTATTTTCTTTCCAATGTGAGGTTTTGGTAGTCATAACTGGACAGGGGCGGGTGTTTCAATTCCGAAAGTCGTTTTCCAGATCTAAGGATCAGCAATTCACACGTGATGTGGTTCAGCATATATTGCACCCGTGTACAAGAACGTTGGGAACGTTCGAAAGGACGGCGGGTATCGGTACTGTACGCTGCTGTTATCCTTATTTAATCAAAATTAAGTACGGGCACAAGAAGGATAGCGGGAACCTCGATGGTCTCAGAAATCCAAAACAGTGTCACCTAATACACTGGGCGGGTTGTGGGCTAAGTGGTATCAGTAGTCAAACACTGTAGCCCGGGTAAATGAAGATACACTGGAATTGGTGCTTGTAACCCAGATTTGATGGGATACGCGCGCATGTTTGAACGTAGCACCCTTCATGGCCCTTGAGACTTCGTTCCCTCGGAGGACAACCGCCGGAGGCTCTGATTTACAGGTCCTGCCCCTTCGTGCGATTGCGGCCCCCAGTAAAACCGTCAACGGTGTAGATAGAATTCCCGTCGCAGAGATGAGCAGACAGACCCATATAAATATGCCTCTAAATTAACTGGCATGCGCACGGATCAAAAATTAATAAGACTGTTTGTGTTTGCACAAGAACAACATATATACCATTATAGATTATTACATTAACAATAACAATATCAAGCACCAGCAGACAAAGATGCAAGTTTGGCACCTCTCCAGATTGTTCCACATCCCATATTTCAACAGATCGCCGTTAAAGCTCCAGGCCGCGCCAGAGGAGCAGCTGTTTATCAGAGACCGGATAAATAAGGAAGGCTATGTCGAGGTACAGCTAGAGGAACGTACTGAGAAGATCAGTGCGAAGGCTAGACTCTCGACTAAAAAAACAGGGTCTCCATGTTCGGTCTCAGGCGGCGGCTACGAGGAGAGGGCAGATGAAGTCGATGTGTCGATTTCCGAGTTTATCACCTTCCGAAACCAGCTTCAAGAGTCCAACAAGCGTCAGGGACCGCACCCTAGTGCTAACATTCGGGTACGGAGAGCACTGCGCAGGGCTAACAGATTGCAGGATCCATCGCAGAGGATCCAGATTGTCTCTTCTGGGAATTGGCAAAACCGCCGCAACGAGTCACCGGTAAACATGGCAGATATTGACCTGGCGGAACCTCAAGATGATGACCCATACAACGACAAGGATAACCGTCGTTCCAAGTACGTGGTAAGACATGGTTGGGGCCTAAAAAAGGGTACAAGAACAGCGAAGTGTTGAAGGGCGGCAATTCCGCGCTTCTAATCCGTGACTATACATGTCGACCTACAGCGACTACGTTCTAGTATAGTACCTACGTAATCTAATGAATATATCGTGGTAAATTACTAACCGCTTATCATCTGCAGGTGAACCCTTCGAGCGAAACCATTAATGTCCGCTGTATACCCCGCCGAGCCGACAAAAAAAGCTGTCACAGCACGGAGACAGATGCCACAAAGTGCGTCCAAACTTATTACTCGGGTAGCACGCGTTCGAAGCTCATGTAACAAGCACTCTAGTAGATACATCCGAGAAAATGCCCGACCTACGCCGATACGCATAGTAACCATTTCTCTATTACATAATAAAACCTATCACTAGACCTGTGCGTGCTCAGGCGCAGCTGAGGTATCGCGAAGTGGCAGGTATATGCAAGAATCACCTACACCGAGGAGACCTCACTTTGGCACGTGCTATATAGTGGTCCTTAAAAACGGCGGTGAATTTTGTATGTAGAATGATATCCTAGAGCTTCTATCTACGACAGACATATTCCGCCCTTCTATGCCAGATAATACATTTGGTCAACTTTTAATTTCGACCTCCCAATTGTAGAAGCCCATGCAACCATGCGTGGCAACTAATTTGTATAGTTTAGATTCTCAAAGCCTATACACATACCTCAATTAAATAATTTACGGATATGAATTAATAACGTGTAAGTCTTGAAAAGTTTTGGTTAGCAAGGGCTGCCAATGTGATATCAAATATATTTCTCACGGCGAAAGCTCCTCTTTCTCCGAAGGTGAATCATCACTGCTGGAAGAGGAATCCGACACGGCTTCGTCATCGTCATCGTCGTCGTCCTCGTCGTCGTCCTCATCATCCTCGTCCTCATCGTCTTCGTCTTCGTCGTCTTCGTCGTCCTCGTCGTCGTCATCTTCGTCGTCGTCGTCGGTTTCGTCGTCGTCTTCATCGTCGTCCTCGGCGGACAAGAACGAGGGCTCCTTTTCAGGGTCCCATAAGGCAATGGCTATGTTGTTGGTGGCATATGTGATGCCAGATAAAAATGGCGGGATCTCTAGGCAGGTCGCAACAAGCCCGAATGCAACGTACTGCCCAAAGTTGTCGTAGAAGCGCTCTTCACGTTGGATATTGTTGAAGCCGCGTAGGCGCAAGTACTTGGCCAAGTAAAGTCTCGTGACAAATGGCGAAATGAGTATATTGAAAAACACAGGCCCAAAGACAGGGATCGCCGAAACCAATATCAAGACCACCATGGTGAAGGCCCCGGCCATGTACTCAAGCATCTTCCACGGGAAGTGGTTCATCCAGAAGTACGGCGTATCTAGCGGGTAGAAGAGCTTCACGGGGACCGGCGGGTTCTCCAACAACTCGATGTTCCCATTTACCTTCAACGCGTTCTTCAACGTGTACCGCGACACCTGCGACATGCGGAGCACCATCATCGCTAGGTTGTTTGTGTGGAGCAACATGTGCAACCACGCCATCACGATCCCCGCCGGCCCGAGAATCACCGAGAGCCCCAGATACACGGGGAAGATCGTGAGGAAGTAGATCACGGTAATCACAATGTATATCGCCGAGTAGAACACAAATATACTGATATTCACCACGAAATATCGCCGCGTCGTGCAGCTTCGGATAAGTGCGCGCACCGGGTATCGATACGCCTGATCCCTGAAGAAGTCCGGCGTGGCGTTGGTGGCGATGTTGGTCGCTCTACTCGTGATGAGCAAGATTCTGTCCTGCACGAACCCCACCGTAAGCTCCCGGAGGCCCATGGGAACCTCCTCGATCGCCTGGAACTCCTGCCCTCCATACTTGTAGATTACGCCACTGATAGCAGATATGATCAACGATCCCGCGAACGACATTATGCAAAATCCGGCTGCAGTGGCTGCTTCGATATTGAGGGGGCAGGTGGCAACAGTCCGGGCTCTCGGGTATGCTTATTTATAGTCGGCGTTTTTGATTTTTGCTATAGCCGCCGAGCGTCCCTCGACAATTTAGATCCTGCTCAGACACAAAAACGACAGCTTCTAGCTGCTATCCGTCGCTCTGGTGTATCTAACCGATCTATCTGTGGCTGACGCATAGACTGTCCGACGCGGGATCGATCGGTGCACTTAAAGCCAGATTATATAAGCAGCTTTGACTCTCGAGCCTGTTTTCCGCCTGATTAGGTTGCGGGGATAGTGAGCGGCGGCATGGCCGGCGATACGGAGGTAGGGTAGGATACGGCGGCCGAGCAGCGATACAATAACAGTACGGCACCGATTGGTTGCAGCTTGAGCCGGCTGGCAGGCTTGCAGGCAGTTGGTGCGCGGGACCGGGTGCTTGACCGCACGCTGACACCGGGGCGACGGCGGGCGACATTTAGACGTTGCGCAGACGCAGCGTTCGTGGAGTGACAGAGGAACGGCGCTTCTGCCGCAGTTTGTTCTGGCGTCGCTGCAGCAGACGCATTGTTCACCACAAAAGCCAATCGGCGTTGCTTTTCAGCGCAACTGCGACAAAAATTCAGGCTGGCTTGAGCAGCAAGCATCGTATATAAGAGGGCAGAGAACGGTTCCATCAGGAATTGGTCGCAGAACTGCAAGCGACAATGAAGTACTCCAATCTAGTTTTGACCGCCGGAACGTGTGCGCAGGCGTTCTTGGTGCCCGAAAGGTGGGCAGATGCCATGGCGGAGGCCATCGCGCCCGTGGCACGCAATCCGCTTCTATTCAATGAGGAGGCCAAGTTGGTACCGAACCTTTTCCGGCAGGACAAACCATTGGTTTCGTCAGAGAAGTTGCAGGAGATGGTCACGGTTGAGCAATTGAACTCTAGCGCGTGGGAGCTTTATCGGATTGCGACGATGTCGACGCCGGAGTACGGGCATCCCACGCGGGTGATCGGTTCTGCAGGCCACAACGGGACGGTGGAATACATATTGGAAGAGCTCGGCAAGTTGGGAGACTACTACAACGTGTCGGTGCAGGGCTTCAGTGCGCTTGTGGGCGAGCTACGGTCGTACAATTTGACGTACATGAACGACACAGATGTGCCCTCGGTGAATGTGCTACAGTACTCTCCGCCAGTGGAGCGCTTCCAGGGTAAGCTATTGCACGTGCCCAACCTAGGCTGTGACGAAGAGGACTACCGTGCCTTGGTTGTGGGCGCGGATGATATTGCTTTAATCGAGCGTGGGGAGTGTACATTCGGCAGAAAGAGCGTGCTAGCCGGGACATTCGGCTTCAAGGCTGCGATTATCTACAATAACGAGCCAGCGGGAGGCGAAATCTCCGGGACGCTAGGCAGTCCTGTCGAGCACATGATCTCCACTCTCAGCGTATCCTATGATGTGGGCAACGATCTTGTCGCCGCTATTAGCACAGATCCCACATTTTCCCTAAACGTCGCCGTTGACTCTGTCGTC